AGTAGTTTGAAGATGTACTGTTTACAGATTATGCTGTCTAACAGTTTTCTTTAACAATGAGTTGTTAACTGAGTTTTTATCAAGCATTTCTAGAGTAATGGACATCCTTACTACAATTGAGAGCAGAATTCTTGTCCTTTTTTTCATAGTAAAATAATGAACAGCATTCATAAAAACAATGAGAATAATAAAGACAATGTAGTATATATAATTTATTAAGGGTTAGGGTTATAATTTATTAAGTTCTGCAAAATGGCCTCAAAGCTGCAGTGGTACAGGTATCTTATGAAAACATGCCTAGAGCTTAGATTGAATTATTTGGACTGATAATTTCATAGCATTCATGTTCTTACTGGACTAGTAGCCTTGATAAAATATTGCAGAAAGATTTGGAGAAATCTTACCTTTCATTTTGCAGAAAGATAAGGAATCAAAGTGGCAAAGGGTATTGCTTTAGTAAATAGAAAAAGTAAATGTCACCTAGCAGACTTTTATATCTGTGGACATTTTATTGATTTTAATTGGCTTCTGAACTCTACTTTACTTATATGACAGTCTGTTCTTTTACACTCTACAAATATTGTAAGGGCTGAAAAAAGTGGGAGACATATTTTGCAAATGTGATTATGCCCACACTATAATTGGGCTTATTTTCTAAACACAGGAATACACGAGTCAGGTGTCAACTGGAATGTGGAGATAGCTAAGAGGCTGACTCTCACAGCCCCAGAGTATTCAAAGTGTATTTAGAAAGCCCTACATTATGAGGGAAATTTTTTTTTTCCAGGTTAGTAAGATTTAGTGTAGATTTAGAATACACTGAGTGCATGCTCTTCTAAAAGCAGGCCATCCTTTCCAACTTATTTCTTCTTTAATATCTGTTGCTGTGGCAATTCATTAGGAGGCAATATTGGGGTTTTGGGAGGTTTGGGTGCTTTTTTTGTTGTTTTTCTACTATAAATCCCCATCAGACTGTATCTGCTATTTCTCATTTACTTTGAGAAGCTTTTCTCAAAAAAATTGTTTGGTCTTTCCACAGCAGCTTTGCCCTGTATTATAGTTTCTCAGCAGATAATGGAGCATTTCAGACCTCCTCAGGAGTAGAGATGATCCATTCCTGAATTCACACCATCAGATATACATTGCTGTTTACCCACAGACTAATCAAGAACACAGAATTCCACCAGTTTTTGCTGCCCTGCACACCTCTCCGTAACATGCAATTTCTTTAATACCATTCATGCAATCCTCCACTGAAATAGTTTGGTTCTTGCATGAGAAAAGGATTTTCTGTGCCTCTTCTCCTGCCATAGCTTTCAGTAGTTACTTTCTGGAGGGACTATATTCACTGTTTTGGCAACAGTTTTTTCCACAACATTTTTTATTCTGTTAGTGCTACATTCAGACAGGTGTCTGGGACACTGAAATCGCCCAAACCTTTTTGCAGTCAACAGCTTTTCAATGTGTTTTCTTTCTTTTATTCATGCTCTTGCATTTGAAGAAAGATTGATGCCTCTGCAGATACTGTGCAGCAAAATGAGATTATAACATCCTAATTCTACTCTGCATTCAACCACAAACAGCTCTCTGCTGCACCAAGATAGCAGGGTTCTATTGTGCGTAGCGATGACTTGGGGAGATGAGCACCATCACTCCTTCCTCTTTCTTTCCCTTGCTTTGTGTACCCAGCATGATGCCATATTTGATGGAATATTCCTGGATCAGTTGGCTGTCTTGGCTGTGTCCCCTCCCAACTGCCACCCTTGTTGTGGTTCGTTTTGCGTTTGTTCTGTTCACCCCCATTGTTCATGTTGAAAGGTCCTGCCCAAACCCAGTTAACTGTCAATCCCCAAACCCCTCCCCAGTTTCTATGGTTATCAAATATATCTTTTTGTTCTCCATCCCCGGCTGCCTGCCTGTCACTCGGCACCCCTGCCTCCTTTTCCAGAAGCTTCTGGGCAGGGTGTCGGGTGATTGGCTCAGGGACCAGGGCCCCTCCCTTAGTTGTACATGATTGGTTTTATTGTTGTGTCAATCCCCAATGTATCCTTTCCCTTCCCTCTCCTGATTTGTTACCCCTCACCCCTCCCATCTCCTTTAAAACCCGAGGTTTTCCATACTTCGGGGCTCTCAGCTCTCTGCTCCCAGCCCTTGTCCCCTGGTTCCATTGGGAGTGTTTGGTCCCTCGGGACCCAATAAACCCGATCATACTAAGAGAGTGAGAGACGCCTCTCCTTCCTGCGGCTCGGAGTTTCAGCGGCCACCGTCCAGAAGGCAGTTTAGTGCCTTAGGCGCGATACCCGGCTTCGTGTTGGGGAAGCGCCCCTTCGGCTGGAGGCGGGCTGGTCATTCTAGCCTGGGCGTGTTTCCACCGGCCACACCGCTCCACCACCCCCCTCTCCTCACTGCTGTGGCAGTACAAGAAGCAGAAAAGGCCTCGATGCTGCATAAGTGCTGCTTGCCAAAAGTAAAATAAAATCTGTATTATCAACACTGCTTCCAGACCAAATCCAACCTGTAGTGCCATAAGAGCTGCTGTGAAGAAAGTTAACTCTACCTCAGCCAAAATCATTGCAGAGTCCAAACCTGAGAGTCTCAACTATCCCAGAAATTGCAGGGTGCTCTTTTACAAGGCTGCAGTGGCCTGTGCAGGAGTTGATAATGAGGGCGCTGATTTCCAAACACCTTGTCCTGCTGGAAGGGTTAATCTGTGTTTTACTGAAATGAGGCAATGCAAGGGAAAAACCTTAGCCTTCATGCTTTTCTCCAAACTCTAAGGATAGTTATGGTCTAAATTTTATGAGACAGTTGTTGCATAGAATGTGGCAGTTAAGTGCCTGGAGAACTGTGCCAAGCAGGAGAGGTCCATTCCTTGCTTGCCAAGGAAGATCCAGCTGGGTGCTCGACTGCTTTTTGCCAGGAGAGATGCATTGTGGGTTTCAAGTCATAGGAAGCTCTCTGAGGCAGAATCTTTCTTCAAGCTCTCACGAGTCCAAGGGAGTTCTGCTTTGCCTCTTAGACAAAACCTACTGCCAAAGCTCACTGCAAAAACCTTTCCTGCTGTGGTCGAGGCACGACGTTACACGCCTCATTGCTGTATTTGTTTGTGCATGCTTTCCAGAAGATGTTTTTGTAATAGTCTTGGCTATGGGACGTTGATGTTTTTCTTTTTCTACTGTCTATTGTACTATTTTATTCTAAGTTAAAAAGGAGAAATTCAAAAGGTAGCAACAGTGTAAAACCGCGCTGACAAAAAGAACTCAGAACAATGTAACAAAACTTTGAGGTACCATAGCTAATGCCATATTGTTTAAAAACCATTTTGTTAAATAAAAACCTTGCTTTGATAAAATAATTGTTGCTGATACTTAAAACCATATTTTTTATAAGCAGATATTTTTGCTAACAGTAATGTTAAATGTGTACCGATAGCACATCCAGTGCTGCGGGCTGCATTCTGGGATGCACTAAAATTTTATTTTCAGCTAATGTGCCTAAACATCAATCTGCCAGTAGACAGTAAAATGCTTCAATAGCATATAATAAAGAAAACTTCCATGAGTTTTTCCCTAGCGGAGATAGTGTGAGTTCTGGCTTTTTTATAAATTTGGATCTTTCAGAAAATCTGTACTAGTACTGAAGTAGTGTGCAAGTGGCCAGAAATGGTGTAACACTTTCTCTTGCAGTTATTTAAAATATTTAGAATATTGATGTGTATGTGTCTTGTTTCTTCTTCCATTTCTGTTAGAGCAGATGATGAGCAATAAAATTATTTTTAAATAATATAATTATTATCTTTTATGTGAGGAAAATGGGATCACACTACTTTTTTTGTCCTGTATTTCTGTGTTGATTTGGATTTACAAACACATTAGCAATGGCAAAGTGCAAGTTTATCACACAGGTTATAACCTTTCAAACCTCTGAACTCAACACAATATAAATAATTCCTGCACTCTTAGACTGCTATTAGCTGATAACTAGAGGTCCAGTTTTTTTTATTTTCAGAATAAGCGTTGTGAATATACCACCAGATTGCTGAAAGTTTTCTTGTCATATGGCTGGTGGTTTTCTGGGGTTTTTTTTTGGTTTTATCTTTCAATAATAGTACTCCAAATTAGTAAACTTCCCATGTTTCCATTAAGTGTTTCCACACTAGAAGGATGTAAAAATAGATTTCTTCTGTTACAGTTGCATAACCAGCTAGTTGGCTGGTTCGTTTACTAGGTTTTCACTTTTCAACAGTTCAGTCTATTAATTTGAATTTCTCCTCTGATATGTTTATCAGAACAACACAGAACTTGATATTTCTTCTTCAAATATGATGTTGAGACTTATGTTCATATGATGAACTCACAAGTTTTCCTCTGGACAGTTTGCAGCCTGCCTCCTGGACATGTGTTTGGCTACAGTTTTAACTATTAGGGTCACTTTCATGCAGGTCAGATTCAGCTGTAGTAGTTATTTCACTAAGTGGTAACTAAATTCTTTCCTCCCCAAGCTAATACCAGAACTGCAGCTGTTTTAACTGATGTGGGACAAAAGATGTGTGGATGGGGAGTGTGCTTTCCTTTTCCTGTGCGTGTCTCTTGTGCTTTTTTCATCTCTCCAAGATCAAGAGCTCTGCAGTAATGCTCTAAATTGATAGTTCTCTAATGTTGTTTTGTATGATTAAAATTACAACATTTCATAGCTGTTTCTCAAATGAAAAGGAATGACCTGATAGGATCTTCAGTAAAAAGAGTTGAAAGATTCAGAAAACAATGAAATGGACTTCTGTGCAGGGAGCTATTCAAATTTCTATGCAATGTTTTTGGATACATTAATTTCTTTATGCAGCAACTTAGGAAATGGTATCGAAAATACCACACATGACAAAGAGAAATGGAGTTTCATTATTTGAATGTAATTATCTCACACTATGTGGAACAGCGTTTTCTTGTCATGAGCAAAGTAGAAGCGTTAAGCCTATTATAACATCTCTTTTGATGTTTTTCTAGGATGGAATAAAAGATGAGTGTTCAGTGCTGAAGCTGCAGCTGAAGGAGAGAGATGAGCTCATAGCCCGGCTTCGTGAGGAGCTGGTAAGCAGGAGGAGCAATGCGGGGGCTGTCCTGGGTTTTCTGGGTGTTTTTGGGTTCATTTCCCTGATAATGTCAGTCCAAGACCAAATCATAAAGAAATACAATTTCACACCTGCTACAGAATTACTAGCCTAAGGCTATGTTAATCATTCAGATAAACACTGATAACATTGACTGTACTTTTCTAGGGACTTGTCAGCCTCTGAAGTGGCTACTGTCTAGGTTCACTGCTTGTAAAAGTTTCTTTGAAGACAGTGTGTTGACAGTTGTCTGATCAGAGGCAGATAAGCACAGCACTGTATGCATGTGCCAGAAATCTTGAAGGGCCATGCACATGCCTGATAAATTGTCAGTATTTCTCCCATGGGATGCTTTTCACATCTATGAGATTCTTCAGTAGAAAAGGAAATAATTTCATTTTTTTTTCTCCATAATAGATGTCTTTGCATAGGTAATAAATATTCTTACACTTGCTGAACCTTTACTTAGCATATGAGCTACTAATGCTGGGCTACTGCTGCTTTAAGGATTGACAAAATACATTCCAGTGACTGAAGCAAAATACATGATTCAGCAATTACAAAATACTAAACACGTGAAAATGCGTTTTATTATTTTGCTAAGGCTGTGGTAACAGAATTTGAAGATTCCTGTTTGGATGGAATGTGGTTAAAGCATGGATATCTTCAGTATTTTCAAATAAACTAGAGGGAGTTTCCACCTCCTCTCTCACTGCAGAGAAATCCTGTAGGGCACCACCTTCAGGAGGACATTCAGCACATACATTCCTTCCATGAAAGCTGCAGCTGTGTGGGCACCTAAGATTTTGTTTCATCACCCTTTTGTGACAAGGGATTGTTTCCCTAATTAGATCTTAATTTGCTGATCTACCTCAGGGGATTTTTGTGCCTTTCTGTCTTTTGTCTCTCATCCCTAGCTCAGAACTTGAACAGAATTAATTCAGGTCTAGCTATTACTGCATTTTTTTATACTCACTAAAAGCAGGAGTACACTTTTATGCCAAATAACTTGAGTTTCAAGTTGCATGGGAAAAATGTAATCCTGCCCAAGAGTGAAAGATTTCTTTGCTATATTTACATCTGCAAAATAAATACACATCATCAATATTCTTTGTGTTGTATTTGGCTGCATTAAGAAATGATGTATTGTGTAATTATTATGTAAAATTAAATAACAAAATGGGACATAGGGTGCATCAAACTCCTCCACAGTCCTGGAGCATTAATTTTGTATCAGTCTAGTTCGGAACATATGCTATTTAACTGGTGGACAATTCTGTCAGTGTAAAATTAGCCGGTATTGATACAGGGAGCTGTAGCTGGTTTGCTGTTAACTGTTGTCAAAATTCATCTGTGTATACATCATTTGTAGACAAAAAGACCCCCAGGGAACTGTCATAATAGACAAAAAGTACAACTTCCCAGGGCCTTGAAATAAGGATTTCTATATGACTGAAAGTACCATGGATTTAATCCATTATTAATTGACTTCAGTTTTGATGCTTTAAGACTTGTAAAGAAGTGCAGGTGGGATTCTTGAGACCATGTTTAGTTGTTTGAAATTAAGCTTGGAAAGGACTTCATAGATCTGATTTACTCCTAATTGAACTGACTAAAGCCAGGCTGGGAGTTGAACATGACAGAAGCTATTATAGTTTATGAAACCTAAAAAAAAAAAAGTGGAAACGCCATAGGAAAAGAAGTATTTGGTTTTTGTGATGTGGTTGTGGGTTGTTGGTTGGGGTTTTTTTTTGGGTGCCTTTTTTTTTTTTTTGGTTTGGTTTTTTTGTGTTGTTGTCGTCGTTTCAAGTTGTCTAAGTAAGTACAGTCATAGGTGTACTTTTAAAATCTCTACTGCATCTTCTGCAATACTGCACATTCAGTGCCCTCTTTCTGCAGGTGCCCTGGGTCCTTCCCATGGCACTTGATGAAGTTGGCTCCTGATTGTCAGAGATGCTCTTAGAAACTTTTTTTCAGTGTGCTCTTGAGGGAAAGTAAGCTGTCTTTCAGAGCTGTTCAAAATTAATTAAATCTGTAATGATTGCTAGGAAATTCTGATAATGTTTTCCTAGCTTGCATAAAACTCACCAAAAATTGATGTGAAACATGCTTTAATATTCTGCAAATGCTGCATTTACTTAGGTGTTTGTGAGACTGTAAACATTTGGAAAGTGAATGTTTAGAAAAGACTGTTTAAGAGCAGTCATTTTAGGCTAATGAAACTGCACATATTTTCACATAGTTGCAATTTATTGCAAACATAGCACTTAATAGAAAACGAAAGCTTTTGTTCTTGTGTCTTGGGGCAGCCCATGTTCCATTTGTCACTCTGAATATGGAAAGATAAAATTTTTAAATGCAACTTGACTGTCTTGAAAGCATGGCATCCTGATGCTAATTCAGAAATAGCACATAAAAATTTATTTGAGTAGGAGTCAGTTTTGTGCTTTTTGAGAAGTACATTAAAATCTGTACTTCCAGCATTCAAGTTGAATGTTTGCATGTATATGTAAAACGCTTGCTTAGTTGGTTTTACTGCAAAACTCTTCAACTAACCCAAAGTGAACTTAAGGTAATTTTGGCTGTGTGGGAGCTTTTGCTTCTTGCTTTCCTCTAGATTTGCTAGACTTTTCTAGTAGTTTTCCCCTCTGATTTTTTTTTCTTAAATTTTAAATACTTCTAAAAAAGCATTCCTTCCTCATTTGAGTGCATTATGAAGGAGCTGAACTGAGGAAAATGGCTGTGGAGTGTGAGCTGATGAAGCTTCAGAACTTGCAATTGTTGCATAGCTTTTTAAGGGGGAAAAGGCTAAATTCTAGAGAAATGAAAATAGGGGTTTAGATGCTCAGCTGCAATACCCAGGTAGAAAGGATAAAATACAAGGAGCCATCACCTACCTCCTAATAAACAAAGAAGAACATAGTCTCTTGCAGATTTTTGTTTGTTCTCTTATTTAATGATTATTAGAGAAATAAAGATAGGTAGGTAGGGAAGTGCAATTAGTACCTCCATGCTTCCATTATCTCTTGAAAAATGCTTGCTTCAGAAATGTCAGGTACCCAAACCTGCTCTGAAGATACCTGGAAATGGTAAACCTCAGCAGGAATTGAAAATTTGGGTTCAAATCACCACTTATCTCAAAACTGTACTCATTTGTGAAAATGTTATCCATGGAATCAAATTAGGCATATCCATTCTGCAGGGAATGTGCTCTGCTTTTTTCTTCTTATTTTCCCCCTAAAATAACCAAAATAAATAAACATCTTAGTTTTCTTTGGGCATGAGGATGATTGAAACCTCAGCTGTCTCATACCCAGGTCTGCCTGCAACTGCATCTTTTCGTATATTTTCCCAAATCGATCTTTTTCTGCTGCAGTGTGAGCACTTAGAGTGACTTTAGGCAGAAAATATTTTCATGCTATATTGGCAAAAATAACTGACTGCTGTTTACAGTAACATTTATTCTATTGCTGTCATTGGTACAGCAACACTCATGGTGAAAAATGAGAGTTAACACCATTATCCTTTCAACCTTGATTCCCTGTGTGACTTAAGTCGTGTGTTGTGCCACCAAAATGAAAAATGTAGTGAGGCAGTTGGAGTTGATTCTGAGTGGAACTGGAGGCAAAGTTAGGTCAGGAAATTAATCCCCCTTATAGCCCAGCTGTTGGGAATATTTTTCTGCCATGGAGGTAGCTCTTTATCAAATGTTAGACTTCCTACATTTATGGAATAGCAAGGTACTGTGCTACCTAAGTGGGCTTTACAAGTTACTGCTTTCAGGCTATACTCTGGAGTTGGCTACACAAAACAAAGCTGCTCTATTTTTATTTTTTAAACTTTTTTTCTTATCTTTTCCAATCATAAATAAGCTCTACCTCCCTGCCCAAAACGTAGGTTAAATGATGTGAGAGGGCATGGGACTTGTGCTGTGGTTTGGGGGAAGGGGGTTGGTGGGTGATGGTTTTGGCGAGGAGCGATTTTTTGTAGTTGTTGTTTAGTTGCTGTATCCTAAATACAGCGTGTTCCTGGAGGGCAAGAGTGATGGCAAGCTTACCTGTTTTCTGTAGCTTGATTTCAATAATGGGCAATTAGCCAGTTGCTCAATTTTTGAGGTATGGTGAGGATGAGTACTAGTTACTCAGCTTTGAAGGGTAACAGAAAACCTTAGATGCATTTGAATCCTGCTGATGAGCGATCTATGAAAGACACTTAGGTTAACTACATTTTGAAGTGATTTTTATACATATGCCAGTACAGATCCCTTGAATTTTACAGTTTTAACATTATGACTTGTTTTGACAGGCAAAGGATGAGTTTCAGATAAAAATGTCATGAATGCATGGGGAAAATAATTTTTTGAATTGTTGTGAAAAAGAGACATTTTCATTAGTCCAGGTTACTGTCTACATTTTAAAAACAGTTTTTCTTGAAATTTTAAAGAAATTAGTTCCCATTTGAAAAGAGTAGTAGTCCTTTTTTTTTGAAAAAAGAAATCTAGATTACTCTTTACACTGATTACCCACTTGCTTTACATTCTGTTGGTTTGTGGTATTATTTAATGTTGGCTGTTTTTATGAGAGGGTATTACAGACCCTTGGATAATTTGCATAAGAACCAGCATTTGTAAGTAGTTTGAAATCCTCTTTCTTCACCATATTTAGGAAAAATTAGGAGTAGAAAAGAAATAGATTAGGTGTACTTAAACATTATTAAAGTGTCAGACATCTTCCCCCTTTTTTGCAGGAGAATTAATTGCACGTATTCCAGAAGAGGCTTATCTGAGCAGTAATTACTCTCTGAATCAGTTCCACCAGACAGACATGGAGTGTGAAAATGGCAATATCCTATAACCCACAATGGGGATTAGGCTCCAACTCCTTGTCTCCACCAGTCCCTTGATGAAAAACTGCCGGTCAGATAGGATCTTTAATATTTCTGGGCACTTGTAGAGGTGATTCTGCATACAAGTTTAAGTTC